AGAAGTGGACTAGTAGACTAACTGTCCATATATATGTGGGTATATGTAAATGTATATACATATGTGTGTGTGTGTGTGTGTGTGAAAGAGACGGACAGAGAAAAAAAGAGGGAAGGATAGAGAAATGAGAGGATATGGTTCTACTACGTATCTCTTTTTCCCTTTTATTTTGCACATTTCTACTCTTTAATTTACATATATCTCTCTTCCATCTACCCACAGTACTTGATTTACTTTAGTGGTATTCTGACATTACCTCTGGTCTCTGTCTTTTCTATGTCAGTCCATTTCTTTTCCAGTTCTTTCATCCACCTTACTGGCCTCAAGTGACAGTAAAATATGGTAGTTTTCCTGAAGGAGTGTTTCTTCCTCCTATCTTCTGATGCTGGGACTGCTTCTCTGTTTTTCTCTTTCAGTACCTTCTCTACCTTCCAGTCTCATGAGTTTGTTCCTCATTTCCTTTGCACTGATTCCCAAACCTATGCAACAAACCAACTCAAACCTTGATGTCTTGAGGCTCCACAAGGGGCTGATGAATAAGAGCCTGCAAGTAGGGCAATGACAGCTACAAAAATAATAGCACTTAAGTGGGAAAAACCATTAGGCTTCACCACAAGATTCTCCGAATGATTCCCAGTGCCCGTCCCTTCCCTTTTCCTTTGCCTGTTGGTAGTTCTGACCTCACCCTCTTGTTATTGGTTATTATGAGCTGAATTTCTGGGTTTTGACATCCTCATTGGTTGAGTTTTCCCTCACTTGGATTTAGTTGCTAAACCCAACCTCTCTCCTCCTATCTGTCCTCCTCCACCCCCTCCCTTCTGCCTCCCTGTCTCATCCTCTCTCATCTTTTGCTGTACATTTCCTAGCAGTTCAAACTCCTGAGGATTGATGCAGAAGTAGTAGAATAAGAGGGTCTCATTGTCTTGCTTGATAAGGGAGATGCCAGTTCCTCCAGGGCTGTGTGTCTTGTCAGATCCAACCTGGTAGTTTTAATTCCCTTCAGCGCATTAAGGAGTCTACTCCTGAAATCACTATTGCACTGTATGCTAACTAACTTGGATGTAAATTAAAAAAAAAAAAAAAATTAATGTAAAAATAAATAAAATTTAAAAAAGAAGGAAAAGAAAAACATTCCCTTCACACAGGAAAAGATGGGCATTCTATTAAAAATGCCTGCTCCTCTGGAGCACCTGGGTGGCTTGGTCAGTTAAGTGTCCGATTTTGGCTCAAGGTCATGATCTGGCATTTAGTGAGTTCGAGCTCTGCATTGGGCTTTGTGCTGACAGCTTGGAGCCTAGAGTCTGATTCAAATTCTGTGTGTGTCTCTCTCTCTCTGGCCCTTTCCTGCTCACTCTGTCTCTGTCTCTCTCTCAAAGATAAGTAAACATTAAAAAAAATGCCTGCATCTCTCTCATTGGTACCTCAGATCTTTCTAGGCTACCCTTGCTGCCATTTCAAACCTATTTTGCTATCACCGTATCTCCTTTTCTCCCATTTTCTGAACTCATTTCTTGTCTTCTTGCCTCGATCCTCTGGATAGATGCTTTTGTTCATAATTACATCTTGGTTCTTTATTGCAGGGTCACCATTAATCAGTGTCTTTAGATTTTCTTCAGCTTTACGTGCTACCCACTGAGGCTGATCCCATGACAATGCTTAGAAACAGCAGTGTCCCCCAGAACTCAATGCAGACTAGATGCAGAGAGTTCACATAGGTTTCATGACATGAGTTTTATTGTATTGCCAGAGGCTGGCTCCAGCAGGTGCAGGGGTCCCTGAAGGATGGCCAGTGTCAGCGAGTGAGAGAGCCCCGAGATTCTTTCTGATCACCAGGCAGGCATCTCTGTCCTGTCAGTTTTGGTGTCTTTATTTATAGGTCAAACGATAGCATGACATCATAAAAAGGAATTTTTACAGTGGATAACTCTTTGTGATAAGATGCTTTGGGAAGTGTACAAAGCAGGTTTTACAGAAATATTCTTGCAGAACTATTCCAGTTATAGTGAGGTTGAGTAAATTTTATAACTAAGGAATTAACAGGGTATTTTTAGTAAAAAAGGATACATATTTGTTCTAAGTTAATAATGCTAAGGTTAGGTCGTAGATTAAGTGTATAGATGGGCTAAGAGTCATTCTGTCTGGCTCTCAAGAGCACGAATGTTTTTGAACTGTTTTGAACTGGTTAATAAGTTGTTTGTGAAAACCTTTTTGACTTGATGCTGAATGTGTAAACACCATGGATGCCCTAAATGTGTTGGCCTTTGTTTTTGGGTTATGTTTTAGCTACTCTTATCTATCCTCATCCCAGCCGCCAGTAAGGGAGGGTGTTTGCGGAAAGTAGGCCTTGGGGAAGGGACTGCCATACATCACCAGTTTGAAAAGGTGTAAGTATTAACTTAAGTTCTGCCCTGATCTATTCCTTAACTCTAAATTAGGCTCTTTGTCTTGGAGCCAGGCTCAACTGTAACTCTTGTGTTCTTAACCTCCTTTATTATCTAAGTCTTGGATCTGCAAGGCCCATAGGAAGAGCCTTTTGACAATCATCCACAGGGCTTTCATCTAAAATCTCTTTTGTAAAGGCAGGAATATGCTTTTCCTTATGAGGTATCTGTGTTCGGAATATTGGTCTGATATGGAATATTGTGAGGCCTGGTCAATACCAGCAGCCTCATTTCCAACATGAGCCAGTAGTAGCAGAAAGAGATACCAGTTTTCGTTTCTCATGGCAGGAGCTGCAAACACTGCCATTTCCTTGCTGTGACTGCCATCCAGAGAGGCCGGTGCAGCTCCCAGCATTGTATCATCTTTTTTTAATTTCTTCTCTTATTTTGCTCCTGTGATTACAGTTGCCTCAAAACTAACTAGCAGTGGAGGAGCATCATTAAGAACCTAAACTTTGGAATCTGACAAACCTAGATTTGATTATGAGATCTGTGGTGTGACTTTGAGAAAATTTGTGTATCTACTCTGAATTGTACTTTTTCCATTGATAAAATGAACATGATAACAGAACCAGCCTCATAGGCTTATTATGGACATTCAGTTGCTATAAGCAAAGAACTTAGTACCTTGCCTAGAACATAAAAACTGCTAATAAATTATCATTATCATCTTCATATATATTGAAATTGGTAAAATCGGGTTTGTAGCAGGAAGTGGAAATTCTAGGGCAAAGTAATCTATGAATGCATTTTCCTGTAAATGTTAAAATCTAGATAAATTATGTTTTGTAGGTCCACCTCATTTATGACAGTTCTGGGTTTTTTTTTCATATAAAGTGATATAAACAATCAAAATACCCAAAACATGAAGAAATGTTTCACATCCTGAAAATGGAAGCTATTGCACTTGTACAAATTCAGATTTTATATCCTACAGATTGGGGATATTGGGAGATCTACAAGTATGGACTTCATTACCACCACCTGGAATTGTGAAGCCTCACCTATAAAAGACAGATGATAGTCAAAGAAGAATCATAAAGTTTAGGAGAAACTAGGGAATGCTGCGCTAAAAGGAGGAACATATCTATAAAATAAAACATTAATGTTTACTTTGGGCACAACATTTTCATTCTGGTTCTCCACCAAGGCAAAGCTCCCTAATTCTGCCAAATTTTACTTGCATAAGTTTGCATGTTGCAGTTTGACATTTCATGGCATTGAGGGTGGCAATAACCAATTCTTCCTTTACTCTCCTGATATTTCCAATAGAAAGTTTTCCCTTGTGCTCATTGACCTAAAAATGAAGTGGTGGTAATGCTCAGAGAATGCTTCTCTCTCTCTCTTTCTCTCTCTCTCTCTCTCTGTCTCTCTCTCTCTCTGTCTCTCTCTGTCTCTGTCTCTCTCTCTCTCTCTCTCACA